ATATATATATATAGCTACTGCGATATATGGTGTTAGCTTCAGAGTTAATATAGTAAAGAAGTAATGTGATAGTGATTATGCAGTAATCATGTTTGAATTTTTCAACTCGCACATTGTGCAGAACATAAAAACTCATGAAAATACAACTTTATTGTCACACATTATATGTTTTTAGACTTGACGCTGTGTTTTGGTCTCAGTTGTCACCCACCACCATCATCATCACCCTCTGAATGCACTGCATCAGTAACACGATGACATGCTTAAGTGTAAATATTGTTTTAAGTAGGAGTTTTCACGTGACAAACAAGTTTTAGTATAGAAAAATAACAACATATTAAGGCCAACGTGTGAAGTTAGACATGGGATAAAAGGCTTTTTGAAGGGATTCTAATCTTGATGAGCTGTTGGATTCACAGATTCGTTAAAAAGAACCGTTCTGTTGGCCCCTCCCCCTTCCCTCCTGAGCTAATGAACTCCACCCCTCTGCTCTCCTCATTGAAAGGAGAAGCGGTCGTCTGTGGGTAAGGAGCAAAAATAAAAATCGAGAAGTAAAAAAATAATAATACTGACTCTTTACTGTCTGCGACTCGGTTCCTGTCGTTCATTATAAAGAGTCATTCAGAAGATTCAGATTGTTCACAAACGTCACATCTCTAGGGATGTTAGTTGGAAATCCCTTTTAGAAAGTGGTCCACGGTGATGCTGTCATCAATACGGACCAGTCTCTGAGGGGTGTTTCCAACAACTTGTTGAATATATGGCTTGCACAATCAGAGCCGGCTCTTGGCATAGACGAACTAGGCGGTCGCCTAGAGCACCATCTGCTGGAGGGGGCACCGAACTGCAGAAGAAAAAAGTAATTATTTGTAATCCCTGGTTGTAACTCTGCTCAGCGCCCCTTTCAGTTAGCTTTGTCTTAAAAAACTATAATGAAGTAGAGTATTACAGGAAAAATAAACTACTCTACCCATGAAACATTTTCTCCCCCCGCAATGCAGCAATCGCCCCCACCCTCTCTCTCATTTGATTGCCGTTGCACTGACTCATCCTGCTTTGCAAAAAAATCCACACAAATGGCTGTTTGATGTTATTTATTTTTTTAAAATCATCCTACAGATACAGAAAATTTTGAAAATGAGGTTTTGAAAAAATCCGTAAGACTTGAAAAAAATCCGTGAAATTGCTCTATATGTCCGTATACCTGCAGAATGACGTAAAATATTTATAACTTACGGACAATCCATACAAGTTGACATGTACTGTATGTTGTTATTAATTTGCTTTCTGGGAAAGCAAATAAATCTAAGTTTACCATAGTACCTTACACTGTCAAACTTGTTTTTAGGGGTTCAAATTGGGGTGGGGTTGCGCTTCAACATGCCTAGGATACCAAAATGTCTATAGCCAGCACTGTGCATAATTAAGGCAGTTCTGAAGGGGAAAGTGGGTCGAACCCAGTTTTATAAGCTGGACCATAAAGTGGCTTGTTTCTTTTTTTTATTTTAGAAAGGTAAAGGGAGTTTCTGACACATGATGAGATGATAAAAGCAATAATAATAATAATAATAATAATAATAATAATAATAATAATAATAATAATAATAATAATAATAATAATAATAATAATAATAATAATAATAATAATAATAATAATAATAATAAAACATACAGTATGAGCTGGTTTCAAAGGAGAACGTGAAAAAAATGGAGGTGTATCTTTTTAACTTGCTCTGACGTCACTATGATGCAGATCGTCCTGCTGGATGTGAGTGGAGAGGAGGAGAACCATCAGCAGGAAACCTTCACTCCTCTGCTGGCTCCAAAGATTTTAAATAATAATAATAATAACAAAAAAATTTTAAATTAAATTTCCTAAAAGCCTCGCGCATGTTTTCAGGGGAAAAAAAGGAGCATATTGAGGTCAGAGGAAAGCGTTGCCAGGGCGACACTGCGGCGCGCGCGTCACACGCCGGTGGAAAGGGGGAGGGGGGAGGAAGCGCGCGCTCGCGAGGCAGCATCAGCATCAAACAGCCGGAGCTCCGCGCGCTGTGTGCCCGCGAGGTGGTCCACGTCGCACCGAGGCGCTCTCCCCTCTCCGACGGAGCTTCCTGTGGATTTATCGTCGACTTTTAACCGAGAAAAGGGCGTAAAAATAAAAACAACAACAATAAAAAAAAAAAAAAAAAAAAAAACGGCGCGCGCTGACCTGATCCAGCACAGGTGATTCCACTTGCTCCAGGATGGAGTTCCCGCGTCGCTGAAAGCAGGAATTCTGCTTCAAAATGGATGTTTAAAGTGATGGACTGCCCTGCTGGGATGGACCGAACCGAGCCGAGCCTGTCAGTCCGGATATATGTGGTGTCTAATCCCGTCTCACCTGCTGTTGGATTGAACGAGCTGTCCGGGGAGGCGCTTTAACACAAATGATCATAAATCTGGACTGAGCTCTTCTTTTTTTTTAAAAACATGTTTTTATTTTTGTTTTTCCTGCTTTGACTCTTTGATCCAGTGGAAGGTTTAGAGAAGGACTTTAAAAAAAAAGAGGACAGTCTGAGGAAGAGGAGCCCAGTGGGAGGCAGACTGATCACACACTAACAGGTAGGCTCTTCTCTCACTAGTTTCTGTCTGAAAACACAACAAAATCTATAGTTTTTAAATTTAATTTCTTTAAACAAACACGTCTAATTGTTGGTTTTTGTCTTGAAAGAGAAATTGTGCAGAACCAAGTGTTTGTTTTTATTCAAATCTGCTTGTTTGGTTTTATTTGAGATAAAAAATGACAGATTTGGAGGGATGTGCAGCTGGGTTTGGGCCCCACTTCCTGTTTTGTTGAAACACAGCTTCTTGGAGGAAAAAATCAGTATCATTAATGAGACATGAAGCAGGCTCCTCTCCTCCCCTGCTCCTCCTCCACGCTTAGATTTGTAGCTCAGACTTTAATTTGGAAATATGCTGCAGCTCCAGGGATGATCAGGACCCAGAACTCACAAAGTCCTCCTTCAACAACTGGATCATCCCTCAACTTAAACATGAGCGTCTCTTCTTTTTGCTCAAAAGACTCCCCCCCACATTCCCCAGGAAACGCCACTGCCATGAGAACATGTACACACACACACACACACACACACACACACACACACACACACACACACACACACACACACACACACACACACACACACACACACACACACACACACACACACACACACACACACACACTGCAGGAAGAATGGGGCACATTTATATGCTGTGGCTGGTGTTGTGGGGCATCAGCCGGGCCTGCGAGATGATAGAATTCAGCGAGGGGACAAGAAGACCTCTGTTCTTATCTGTGGCCATGAGAAAAAAAAAAGGGGGGGGGGGTGGCTCAGCTTCTCTCCTTGTGCCCCCCCTCCACCTCCCCAACTGTAGCGTCTCCTCTAAGGGGGCGAGATTGTGCAAAAACGTGCAACCGTCCTTGTCCCAAACATGAAAACCTTTAAAAAAATCTGTATGCACAATTAAAGGAACAGTTCAGATCTTTTTTTAAAGTCGCACTCAGGAGCTCTAGATCAGTGACGAGCTAATGGCTAGTCTGAACAGGGTCGCGACCTACCATCTTCTAAACTACTACAAATAACTTTATAACAATTAAAGCCAACAATATTTTTTTTAAATAACCCATTACATTTCTGGGCATAGCTAACTTAAAAATATAGCTTTGCTAATGCTAAACTGCTAAACATGTAAGAGAAAAAAAGCGTAAGCTAATGCTATAAACGGCTACACAAGAAAAAATGTCTTTGGCTGTGTCCAATGACTCCTTTGAGCTGAAGACTGGTGGAACTGACACAAACCTGTTATTAGTTAGCTGTTAGCAGATTTAAAGTTGGCAAAACCTTAATTTAGCTGAAGCTAACTGGTCTGCTAATGGTTTTCAAAGTTAGTTAAAAAAATCCACAAAAAATTGTTCTGCTTTTGGCTGTCAGCTTATTAGTGAGACTATGTTCACCACTGGTGGTCTGTCTATGTTCCAGACAGATAATTGGAGGAGCTTTGTCAGCCTTAAAGATAAGAGAGGAGCTTTGTCAGCATTAAAGATAAGGGAGGAGCTTTGTCAGCCTTAAAGATAAGGGAGGAGCTTTGTCAGCCTTAAAGATAAGGGAGGAGCTTTGTTAGTATTAAAGCTGAGGAAGGCTCTTTGTCAACCTTAAAGATGAGGGAGGAGCTTTGTCAGCATTAGAAATAGGGAGGAGCTTTGTCAGCATTAGAAATAGGGAGGAGCTTTGTCAGCNAGGGAGGAGCTTTGTCAGCATTAGAAATAGGGAGGAGCTTTGTCAGCATTAGAAATAGGGAGGAGCTTTGTCAGCCTTAAATATTGGGGAGGAGCTTTGTCAGTCTTAAAGATAAGGGAGGAGGTTTGTCAGCCATAGAGATATAGGCTGTGTCCAAAATAACAGGTCGGGTCCTCTGGAGGACCCAGACTACCCGGTCGAGGTGGGCCGGGTCCTTGGTAGACCGGGAAGACCGGGAAAAAAAGTGTCTTTGAATTTGGACGGTCTAGCCTCCCCTCCACCCCGGCGTACGTCATGTCACCTAGCAACCATGACGACGATAAACAAAAGCAAAAATAGATCAAAAATAGAAAAATATAAATATATTAGCATTATTAATATCACAAAACTATAAAATTAACTTAAAGGTAACATTTGAAGAACAAATTGACCCGCCGTAGGTGCATGTTTATTTCGCGTTTTTTATGACAAAAATATTTAAAAACATGTCCATACAAATGATAAAAGTATTAGAATTACAGCCACTAAATTTTTAAAATTTTTATATCACCATATTTTTATTTAAAACGTATTCTTTTCTCTCGCTTCGTCCGCCATTACTAGCTTAAAAAAATCTCCTGTCGGGCCGCAATGCATTATGGGCCGGGAAGGATCCATCAGACCCTGTCCTTCAAATCGGGCCAAAGGAAGGACGTATTTGTCGGCCGCATCCTTCGGTTTTGGACGTCCTTCGTCGCGGCGCTGTGACGTATGCGGCCGACGAATTCGGCCTTCGGAGGACCCGTCCTACTGTTTTGGACGCAGCCATTGTCTCCTTTGAGTTGAAGACTGGTGGGATTGACACAAACCTGTTGATGTTAGCTTGTTAGCTAGCTGTTAGCAAACTTTGATTCAATTCTAAAATACTTTATTGATCCCAAAGGGAAATTAGATGTAAGTCGTAATTATGCAATTATACGTAAGTAAGATAGATAAGAATGCGAAACCTAATTTACAGGAAGCTATTAGAATAGTTAGAAATGAGCCTAACTTTTCCAGGTCACAGGTCAACTGGGTAAAAGATGAGGTTGCTATAAACGCTAACGGAATTATGCAAACTCAATAAGCTCAAAAGGCATGTTTGGATATTTATGAAAAATCACATCTATGATCCTAAAGTAAATCAGTTTAGAGCAAATGCATTGGTTCGGTATAACGGCGTAAATTTATCTGTTGAATTGATACAATTACAGTAGCATTTCCAGCAACCTTAGCTTTTTCCAGATAAACCTCTAAACGCATAATTTCTAACTACAAAATGGTCTATTGATCTGCTACAGTTTGCAAAGATAGTGAAAAAGCTAATTTAGCTAAACCAAAAATTAGCTCCTCTATTAATTAGTTTAGAAGAAGCTGATTGGTCCGCTAACAGTTTTTAAAGTTAGTGGAATAAAGCTAATCTGCTAAATGAATAAGGCAAATAAAGTGAAACTTTTCCGCTAAAAAAATTCTATTAGCTGTTAGCAGACTTGAAGTTGGCAAAACCTAATTTAGCAGAAGCTAATTTGTCCGCTAACGGTTTTCAAAGTTGGTGGAAAAAAAATAATCCACTAAACAAAAAACGAGTTCCGCTGTTAGCATTAGCTGATTAGCGGATCCATGTCCACCACTGGCCGGTTGTTTCGCATTACATGATTATCTAATATAGTGTTTACTGTCTACTTCCAAGTAGCATCTAGCTGTAGCACTTCCTCTATAGCTTGAATATCTTTTGTGAGGACGTTATTGACAGTGAGAAGTTTCTAAAACAGGATTTGCGTGAACCACGAAGGAGTTTCTGAGACTTGAGTTGATTTTCTTTAGCTTTGGAGCGACTGAGACTAGCCTTTAGCTCATCAGTCGGGTCCAAATTGAACTGAGGTCGTCAAAGAGCAAAAGTGATCTGAGCCGTTCCTCCTCAGTTCGTTAAACCGACCAGGAAGCAGATGGAAGCCTTAGCTCGCGCCGCTAAGCAGCTAACAGGAAAAAAACTGTGAAAATGGCCGCCGCCGTCGCAGCTTCACAGCATTTCAGAGGTCCTAAATGTCCTAAATCCACTGCTTCTAATTTTAGCTGCGGCTGTTTATTTCTGCCGCAGACGTGCAGGTGACAGCAGGGCTCTCGGCGGGTTTTGGTGGCGGTGCGCGGAGCCGTTGGTTTGGTTCTAATTATGGGTGAGAGATGTCATCTGTTTGGAGAAACGTCAGGATTATGACAGCTGACTGGAGACCAGTGACTGGGCTGATGGATGTTGGTGGAATTAAATGCTTGTTTGAATGAATTAGTGAAACCCAGTTCGGCTCTTTGGGGAGGAGCTGCTGCTCGTTGTCATTTTTTTCCCTCTCTGTATAAAGAAAATAAGCTCTTTAAAGCCAGAGTTTTATCTTTAAAACACCAGTTTTCAGCTAACCTGAAGGTTTTACAGCAAACGGACATACAGTTAACTTTTTTATAAAGTCCAAATTACCAACAAATTAACATTTAAATTCCACTCTGTTCTCTTTTCTTTTAGCTTGGAGACGCTCTTATTCAATCCCATTTGCAGTTAGGAGACTCCAGTGATCTTACAGAAAGAATAATTTCAGAGTAGTTTTCTAATTTTGTGAAATAAGTGCACTTCCTGAAATAAAAGCTTAAAGGCTCTGACCTCCGTCAACGCTTCGCCGCGTCAAGGTGAACGATTTGCATAAAACCCTCCAGAAAGAGGAGCGTTACCTGCAAACTGTCTTCTTTTTCTTCATCAACCTGTTTATGGTACGAAGGGAGGAGGCGGTAAAAATCCACAAATTATGGAAGCAGTCTGTAAGTGGGAGCAGTGAAATTGGTGCATTGAGAGTTTGGACCCAATTTATCCTCTAATAGGAGCCGGGAGGCAAACGTAGACCCCCGTGCAGGGCTTTAAGGACCCCTGCATGAGAAGTGGCTGAGTTTTTTTTTCTCATTGTGACTGCAATTTGTTATTTTTTTTCTGTGTGGATGTTTTCCTCACTTTTTCATTCTGGCAATGGATTTTCAAAAAAAGTCAAAAAATCAAATGTATTGGTGAGATTTTGCTTTGATAAGTCAGAAAAACAAGGTTTTAGGTGGGCAACGTTTGACACGAGGGCTAGAATGAGAAAACGAGTACAGAAAATAAATGGGTAAATCAATAAAAAGGAATATATTTTGACACCGATTGGCTTTTAAACTGGTAAAAAAGCTGAATGCAGCTGATAGCTTTAGGATTGACCACTCTGAGGTTAGGGTTGTTTTTCTTGCTTCCTTTTTAACCGTTATAAACTAGATTTTTGCATTTCCTGTCTC